GACTCCCTCCCACCTTCCCATTTCCAGACACTCAGTGCCTGGTTTGTGGAGGATGACACTGCTTTCTCCCATGATTTGTGTAGTGTCTGGTAGTTTGATTACTCTTCCACTTTTTTGAGTTCAAGTTAAGATTTCACCAAGGAATTCATGTTTCATAGAATTGCACTAAAAATAACGTCTTCATGTGTGAAACTAGAGATAAGAAAGCAAACGAAACGATAATAATTTTTCTCTACCCAGATTACTGCAGTATGCTCAGAGGATAGAAGTTTTCCTGTGCCTATACAGATTTTAGACTATGCTCATTTGTATACTGGTGTGTGCGTGTGTGCGCACGCACACACACACACACACACACACACACACACACACACAGATATACCCATACACCATCTCTATTTTATTATCCAGTGGAGTGCAGGGAATGGGAAATGTTGTAAATCAAAACCATTATATTTTTAAGGAACAGCTTATTTAACTGTTTTTGCTGGAGAAATTCTTATCTTATATGATTAAATATGGAAATTCCTACATTTTAATAAATCTTACTCATTTCTCTACCTCTAGAAGGCAGTGAAATGTATCAATATGGATTTTATCTTGTTGTAACAAATATAAATGGTTTAAAATTTACTTATGTAATACTCGTTACAACAAAGATATGTAAATTTAAACCATTTATATTGGTGATGATTACATTTATTTCTCTACTTTAAATGAAAAGAAAATTTATTTTTAGAATTTTCTGATTTTATTAAGTTAATTTGAACCTGCTTTGAAACCTTGGTTCTTCACCCAGTTTTTGTTACCAGATTTTCCCTAAAGAAACATAAACTATGCCCTAATTACCTTAATTCAGCACTTTTTACTTTTCTGGTGGGTTTTTGCTTATGCTTCTCAGTAAAGGAGTTCTTTTCTTCCTTTCATTTCAGAATCCTTAAATATCATGTGTCACGCATTGTAAAAGTCACTTTTATAATAATATTGTTCATATATCTTAAGAAATTTGGATTGATATACTTATTTTGCACCTACTATATATTTTAAGCATTAATAATACAATTGAGGCAAATATGATGCAATAGTATTGCTCACATATCTTAAGAAATAGTATTGCTCACATATCTTAAGAAACTTGGATTGATATACTTATTTTGCACCTACTATATATTTTAAGCATTAATAATACAATTGAGGCAAATATAGTAGGTGCAAAATATTATTTTGCACCTACTATATATTTTAAGCATTAATAATACAATTGAGGCAAATAT